AGTAGTAGTAGTAGTAGTAGTAGTAGTAGTAGTAGTAGTAGTAGTAGTAGTAGTAGTAGTAGTAGTAGTAGTAGTAGTAGTAGTAGTAGTAGTAGTCGTAGTAGTAGTAGTAGTAGTAGTAGTAGTAGTAGTAGTAGTAGTAGTAGTAGTAGTAGTAGTAGTCGTAGTAGTAGTAGTAGTAGTAGTAGTAGTAGTAGTAGTAGTAGTAGTAGTAGTAGCCGTCGTAGTCGTAGTAGTAGTCGTGGTAGTAGTCGTAGTAGTAGTAGTAGTAGTAGTAGTAGTAGTAGTAGTAGTAGTAGTAGTAGTAGCAGTAGTAGTAGTGCGACTACGGGTGCGACAACGGCTACGACTACGACTACGATGGAATCTTCATTACCAGTATTGGCGTGTCGTCTATTGCTAGGCAGCGGTCTGTTTGGGGCCTGGTGGGATTTCGAAGGCCCCATTCATCTTGCACGTTTCTTTGTATAGCCATTCGTCATTTTCCCTATCATGTGTTCTATGTAATGTCGCATTCCCTGTCAGCCGTGCTTTCTGAGGTGAGGTAGAGGTGGGAGAGAAACAAAGACAGAGGGCGCATGCTTCACTCATCCTTGTCACAGTTCTTCAAGACAAGTTGCTTTTCACCCTCCCCCATCATTCCTCACCCGTTTTCGTCGTCCTTGCCTTATCGAGCCTTGTCTTCTAATTCCCTACTGTAGGAGCCAATGCTGCGGGAACCCATTTAAAAGGACATCGCACTAAAGGAATTTTCATCACTGAATCTTTAACACAATCCGTAGCAATTTTGGCTCAAGGCGATTTGGCTCAGCCCGCTGCAGCCTGCACAAGCAGCGGCCTCCTAGCCTCAGTCCGCGCGAAACCCTATCCCGATGGCCTGCCTGGTGCTCGCGGCCGCCGCCCTCTTGTCAGCCGCCCCCGCCGCCGCGGGTCAGGGGTGCGGAATCCTTTTCTCCTACAGCGACGGCAGCGCCACATGCGAGATCGTATGCCATAAGCCGGTGCCCACGACATGCGAAGGTGTGGACTCGTGCTGCCAATGGTTCTCGGAGAGGGTGCAGTCTCTGGCGGATGCCCGAACTGGGAAGGAGGGCCAGCTCGTCGAGTCCGACTCCAATGACCCAGAACAAGTGAAGGACCTGCTTTGTGAGCAGGTGCTCGGCGAGCTGTACGAGAAGTGCCCGGCCTGCAATGGCGGCGAAGAGCAGTGCGCCCTCAAGGATGATTCGGAGAGCCTCGACAGGCTCTACTCTGTGATGGACGGCCTGCCGTTGGCAGGGCAACGGTCTCTCGCAAGCGTTGCGGCGATCGGCCTGGCAGCGATCGGGGGAGCAGCGCTGCTCGCAGCTGCCGCAGTGGCCTTCATGCGCTATGGCGCTTTCTCCGTGCATGGGGGCATCTCTGCGAGCGAGGCCGCGGGGGAGGGCCAGGGCGCCCCGATCATGGTGTCTGAGTGACCGAGCGCCGGGAGATTCTGGGCATGGGGCCTGTGCAAGGCGGGGCCTCAAAGCAAGCGCTCCGTGACTACTAAGAGAGTGTAGCGCCTCAAGGCATGTTCTCCGCGCTGAATTTTGGGAGCGCGACATGGTCCCCACTTTTTTGCCCGCGTAGATTAGCGGGACTTCTCCTCCTCCTATTTTCCTACCCAGGCTCTTCCTCGTCTCCTCGTCTCCTCCTCCTCCTCCTCCTCCTCCTCCTCCTCCTCCTCCTCCTTTCTGTCCTGCCAGCAGGGGGGTCCGGGCCGCGGGCGGCCGAAGCGCTGTGCGCTATACCTGGTTCGAAGCAGAGTTTGTCGCTGCGCTCACGCTGGATCCTCGCATGCAGCTGGGTCAGGCAGCAGCACGTTTTACACCCCCTTTCCCGCTGGGCTTTCGGCCAGGGGCGGCGGGGCCGGCAAGGTGGTAGGTGCACGCCTCCGCTCTTCCGTTGCCCCGGCCGCCGCCGCAGTGCACGGCCCGCGCAGCCTCGTCGTCGCAGGATGGGGTCTCCTCCCTTCCGGGGGTTTCCCCCGAATCGTTTGGCGTCCTCACCCGCGTTCGGCGTTTCAGCCCCGCCGCCCCCCTTGCGTTCCCCTGGCAGGGAGACAGGTGGCGCGCAGAGGTCGGAGGCCCTTGAAAAAAATCACTGAATCTTTAACACAACATTCTTTCGTAGGGGGTCCTTACTGAAGACATCCCTGGTATGTACTCCTTTCTAAAGGGGTCCCCAGTACGGAATCCTCAATTCAGGAATGCGTGCTACATGCGTCCTTACAATGGGGTAGGTATATGTCAGAGGAACCAGTCTTAGAACCATCTTTTCTACACGATTGCCCACAACACTGATCATTACTGAAGGAGTCCTTTCTCAACATATCCGTATGCATGATATCATTTATGAAGGAACCCTTGCTGAATACATCCCCGCCCAGGAACCCTTGTGTCATGATGTCTTGACATTGGAACTATCCTCAAGTCTCCACTGCAGGACAGCGTGCCAAATACACCAGTACTAACGCATCCGTCCCTGATTTTTTCTATATATATATACACCAATGGATTCTACGTCAGGAGTCCTTACTAAAAGGAATCCTTGCACTTTGAATATTTTTTGAACGATCCCTTGCGACATTCTTCGCCCAGAAGCATCCTTACTAGAAGGTGCCCATACTAGAGGATACTTTATTATAGTAGTCCGTCCTAACGGGAGAATGGGCTACCGTTTCTTATCACAAATAATCAGCATTCAATACATCATGCATCAAGGGATTCTTACGCATGGGATCATTTCCAAGGGAATCCTCGTTAGACACCCTGTCTTAGGAGCCCTTGTTATAGAAGCCCTTACCACAATAATCATCAACACCCGTCTTTCGAACTGACTTCTTCACGCTTCGCGTATCCCTTCCCGTCCCCCTCAGCCAATTCATAAACCCTGCCCATGAAAGCTGACGAACATAAGAACGACGAGGCACATTTTGTGAAACAGAGCGGGGAGCTAGGGTGAAAGATAAATCCCTCGAGCGAGGGGGTGGCCTTGGAGGTCTTCTTCTGTCCGTTTCTATGGCCTGCGTCGGGACGCGGGAAGGAGGAGGAGGAGGCTCAGGAGGAAGACGAGGACGAGGATGAGGATGAGGATGAGAACGATGAGAAGGAGGAGGAGGAGGAGGAGGAGGAGGTAGTGGAAGAGGAGGAGGAGGAGGAGGAGGAGGAGGAGGAGGAGGAGAGGATGAGGAGGGGGAAGACGACGACCACGACGACGACCACGACGAGGAAAAGGAAAAGGAGGAACAGGAACAGTAATTTTATGAGGGCAAGGACGAGGACGAGGAGGAATAGGAGGACGAGGAGGAGGAGGAGGACAACGAGGAGGAGGACAGAACCCTCCAAATCACCTCTTGGAGCCCTCTTGGGGCTCGCTTGGAGGATCTTGGGGTCCTCTTGGGGCTCTTCTGGGGCCCCCTTCGGAGCCCTGGAGGGCCTCCTGAGGCTATCTTTTGGGGCGCTAGTGAACATAATGGTTCTAGCGTTCCCCCCCGGGGTCATTCTGATCGCCTCTTACGGCGCTCTTGGGGCGCTCTGGGGGCGATTTTTGGGGTTCGTGGGGCTGGCTTGTAGGCCTCTGGGGTCCCTCTCTGGGCTCTCTTGAGCCATCTTTGGGGCAATCGCCAGGCCTCGAAAGCGCATTTGAAGCGAAATGGCGAGAAGGCACACAACCTTAATTGTCCTTAGTTATTTGACGGACTTTTGGCCTCTCAGGGGCTCCGACAGCACTTGGAGCCGTCTTGCGGCCCTCGCGGGGCCTCTTGTAGGCATGTCGGAAGCTATCTTGAACCATCTTCTGGTATCTTGAGCCGCCTTGGAAGCCATCTTGGAGCATAGGAGGCCCTCTTGGAGCCATCTTGGGCGAACCAGGGTCTCCATGACACATCGCGAACTCTCGGAAAGCCTTCAGGGTGGGAGGGGGAGGGTGCCCTCCCGAGGGGAAGAGTTTTTTTGAGAACTCGCTAGACCACCTTAATCCAAAGGACTGGTGGGATACGTATTACGGGAATCAGCAGGAATCAGTACTAACTGACCCTTTTCTAAAGACGCCCTGCAAACATAATCATGACTAAGGTGTCCTTATCAAAGGAAACGTTACTAACCCAGTCATTACTGAAGGGCTCCTTCCGACAGGACCCCAAGTCAAAGGAATCATTCCTACAGGAAGCCACCTTAAAGGAACGCTGAAGGAATCCTTGCGTCAGGAACCCTGCTCAAAAGGAATCTGGACCAAATGACATCATACACACGGACACCATACTAAGGATCAAAAGGCGTCCTCACCAAGGAGTTCTGATGAATGGAACCACCACTGAAGGAACCCTTAACAAAAAAGGATGAAACATCTGATGACTATGCTGATGTAGACGTAGTATAATAGCAGAATCTTGCACTTCTTGTTTCCTCACCGAGCGAGGGAGAGAGACAGAGAGAGAGAGAGAGAGAAAAAGATAACGACAGTCGAGGATGAGGATTTTCCTTTGCGCGAGGTCTTTGGTTCCTTGGCGGAGTAGGAGGTTTTTCTGGTTTTCGGATTTCAGTTGATTTCCCGAACAGGGCTTGTACTGAGAATTTCTTGCTTCCTTTTCGAGGACCTGGGCTGGTGTGGCGGTCTGGTGCCTATGTGTTGTCGCCGCCGCCGCCCCGTCGCTGCCTCGTCGCCGCCCGTCCTCTGTGCCGGTGTTGCGGTCTGGTGGCTATGTTGTCGCCGTTGCCGCCGCGTCGCCGCCTCGTCGCCGCCCTCGCTTGCAGCTCGTAGAGTGCACCGCATATATTGCACCACAAAGATTGCACCGCATAAATGGCATATATTGCACTACATAGCTTGTACAACATATATTCCACCGCATCGATTGCGACACATGGTTGCAACATGTACATTGCACCACGTAGAGTGCACAACAGATCTTGCACCACAGAGGTTGCACCACATATATTGTATCACGTAGGATGCACAATCTTGATTTCACCACACAGGTTGCATCACTTTGTCCGTAACCATTTTGGCTCAAGCTCAAGTTGATTACGCGAGCCGGCTTCCAGCAGCCACATCCATCCGAACTTATTCACATACACTGGCGAGTTCCTCTCGTTCCGTTTGGCCGGGCGGCAGCAAGCATGGCACCGTGGATAGCATTGTTGGTGGTAATGTTTGCTCACAGCATGCTCGCTGTGACATCCATCACGGTGCACGCCCCGCATGGGGAGATTCGCGATGACAGCTATATTGAAGTGCAAGTCTTTGCAGCAGAACTGACGCACGTGCCTGGGAACAGCTCGTCGCGCCAGACCCCTTTGAGCTATCAGGCGCTGGCCCCTAGCACTTCCTGCTTGACTTGGGGGGTCACCTTCGACTTTTCCACCTGTGTCTATTTCAGACCCGGGCGGGAGTGCGGTCGTGACCCATTTCTCTGTGCGAGCCCAGGGAGATATTTGTTCGTCGGGCACACTTTCGATGACTATGGCAGGAGTCACGGCCACTTCGAGCACATGTAGCCAGAATATCGCATGTGGATGCAAGAGGAACTATTGTTATTCATGCACGGCGACGAGCGCTACATACCCATCAGGCATCCCTGGGTGGTATTGGGGCGCCCATTCAATCGCACCTTGGATGACCGGCGCTATTACCATTGACATCTACTATTCAAGTGCGACGCCGAGCCCGACGCCGAACCCGACGCCGAATCCGACGCCGAACCCGACGCCGAACCCGACGGCCTTCCCGACGGCCTTCCCGACGCCGAACCCGACGGCCTTCCCGACGGCCTTCCCGACGGCCTTCCCGACTGCCTTCCCGACGCCTTACCCGACGGCTTTCCCGACGGCTTTCCCGACGGCTTTCCCGACGGCGTTCCCGACGCCCGGCCCGACGTATCCTCTGGGTTGGCCGACCCCGCATCCGACGTTCCCTCCTGCAGCTCCCATGGCTGGAGCCATGGGCGGTGCCGGAGTGGCTGCCACTGGCGACCCCCATCTTCAGAACGTCCATGGCGAGCGGTTCGATCTGATGAAGCCCGGCAAGCATGTTCTGATAAGCATCCCTCGTGGAGTGGGCGCTGAAGACGCACTGCTTCGAGTGCAGGCCGATGCGCGCCGATTGGGTGGATCTTGCGCGGATATGTACTTCCAGAGAGTGAATATCACAGGGACTTGGGCAGATGCGAACCAAGCTGGAGGGTACCATTACAGCGCGTGGCAACCTGATGACAAGGCTCCAGAGTGGCTCGCTTTGGGGTTACGGTTCCGAAAAGTGGAGCTGAAAGTCGTTCATGGACGCACGGAGGGGGGCCACCTGTATCTGAATGTGTATGTGAAGCATTTGCGGCGCGCAGGGTTTGCCGTCGGAGGGTTGCTGGGGGAAGACGACCACAAGGACGTAATGACCCCCCCAGCGGCTTGTGCCGAGCATACGTCTCTGCATGAAGTGGCTGAAAGGAGAACGAGCGGACGTGCTCTGGCCTCCGTGCCGGCAGTTGCAATGGCAACTTTAGCGTGATCGCCAGTCGCCTTACAGCGTCAGTATTTATCTGCGTTCCAATGTTCTAATTATCCCAGTGCGACCCTATCTAGGAGTTGGAGCCCCCATGAAAGCAGCAGAAGCTAAGCTAAGCTAAACTAAGGTAAGCTAAGCTAAGATAGCTAAGCTAAGTTAAGCTAAGCTAAGCTGGGATAAACTAGGCTACGCTAATAAGCTAAGCTAAGCTAGGCTAGGCTAAGCTAAGCTAAGCTAAGCTAAACTAAGAGGATATCAACTAAGTTAATCTAAGCTAAACTAAGGTAAGCTAAGCTAAGCTAAGATGAGACAAGCTAAACTAAACTAAGCTAAGCTAAGCTAGGCTAGGCTAAGCTAAGCTAGGCTAAGCTAGGCTAAGCTCAGCTATAATCTAAGCTAAGCTAAGCTACGCTAAGATGATATAAGCAAATCATAACTAATATAAGCTGAGCAAAGCTAAGCTAAGCTAAGGTAAGCTAAGGTGACGTAAGCTAAGCTACGCTAAGCTAAGCTAAGCTAGGGTAGGCTAAGCTAAGCTAATCTGAGATAAGCTAAGCTAAGCTAAGTTAAACTAAGCTAGCTAAGGTAAGCTAAGCTAAGGTAAGCTAAGCTAAGCTAGGCTAGGCTAAGCTAAGCCAAGATGAGATAAGCTAAACTAAGCTAAGCTAAGCTAAGCTAAGCTAAGCGGGGCGGATGCCGGGGGAACCGCGGGGCGGATCCTGGGGGAACCGCCCGGGGCGTGTTACACTGCCCGGCCCCTTTAAGACAGAGGTTAAGAACTTTTCTAGGCAGAGCTAGGTAGGGAATGGATGGAATGCCTCTGGCATCCGAAGGGCACGCTGCTCAGGAAATGTTTCGCTGTAGCCGCCAGGCCGGGCAACGCCCTACTTTTGACTCTTGGCAGGGGGCACTTTGTCTAGTTTTTGTGACCGCGAAAAAAACCTTTCTTGTACAACATCGATTGAACCGCTTAGATTCTAAAGGCTTACGCACCCGCCGACCCCGTGAATCAGGGGAGGGGCGATACTGGGCCATCCGCTTGTGGTGAGCCTCGGTGGAGTTTCGATGTGCGTCCTGGCAACGTCGCGGAGGATCTCTGGTCGTCGAAAGGCGATCACGTGAAGTCGTTGGGCTGTCCCGACGTGTTCTTGGGCTGCTTTGATGGTCGTTTCGGCCCTGCAGACAACGTTTGAAAACGTGAGAACACGTCATGTCGTGTCGCCAGGCATGGTGGCGGATTATGTTTTTCTGCTCGTCTTGCAAGATCTTCGAGTCGGGGGAAGTGCAAGAGGATGAGGAGGAGGATGAGGATGAGGAGGAGGAGGCGGACCAGGAAGAGGATGAGGAGGACGGCGGCGTCGACGACGAGGGGGACCATGGAGGAAGGAGGGCGAGGTAGGAGGGGGGAGGAGAAGAAGGAGGCGTCGGAAGAGGAAGCCGAGGAACTGATTGACTAAGTAACTGATTTGACTTCAACACCTGAGACGTTAGAGGGCAGTCTGAAACCAGGGGGGTGATGATATTTCGCTACTCTGGGATTTGTGTCTATTTATTTGTGTGTCCCTGGCCCCCCTTTCTAGGAGAGGTTCGAGATGCGCAGGGAGTTCTGGGAGCCCCGATACGTCAGCTGTCCACCTCACCGATTCCTGTCCAGGCCGATCCAGGGCCACGATTTTTGTAATAACGCCCTCTGGTCTGGGCCACGGAGGCATGGGCACCGATCTTGAGCCCAGGATCGACCCGGCCAGGATCGTCGGGATTCAGAGGAGAAAGAGGTACCCATACCGCTACCCTTCCTTCGTATTCCCCCTGTTTGGGCCCCCTTGGGAGGCCCTCGTCGCCACCGCTGGATTCGCCTAGAAATCCTGGGCAGAACGCACCCCGGGAGGTCCGGGGAGCAGCGGTATCAGTACCTCTCGGTTTCCCCAGAGATGGATCGTACAGGCAGGCCTGGGGTCGGGACGAATGCAGGCCCAGGGCGTTCCAGGACGCTCTTCGTGGCGTCTCGGGACGCTCTGAGGGAGGCCGCGGCGCCCGATGCCCCCCCCCCCCCAGAACCGCCAGATCTCAGAGACCCCCCCTTTGTCCTGGTCCGCTTTTTGCCCCTGCCCCGGCCTCGTCTTCATCGCCGGCGGCATCCGATCCGAGATCCTCGGAGTTCGATCCTCGATCCGGGCGGCGGCGGCCTGGGATTCTGGCCCGGAGAGGCCGAGCTCGTGGCGCTCGGTCTGGTGCCCCACGCGGACGCGTCGCCCGCGGGCGCCTCCGCTTCGCCCGCCTGGCGCGCCCGGGCTCCTTCGGAGCAGCCTGGCGCTTAGGCGTTGGCCCATGCCGCCAACTTTCTCCACCTCGTCCTCCTCCCTCCGCCCTCCGGCCTCCTCCTCCTCCTCCTCCTCCTCCCTCCTCCCTCCTCCTCCTCCTCCTCCTCCTCCTCCTGATCCCTCCCCCTCCCCCTCCTCCTCCTCCTCCTCCTCCTCTTCCTTCTTCTTCTCCTTCTCCTTATCATTATCATTATCCTCAAGTAATTTGTTACCTCGTACTCATATTCTCTTCTAGGGGCCTCTAGAGATCTTAAGGCCCCACAGTTGCACTGGTAAGTACATAGAGCCCGTAGGTCGGCGTACTGGCTCAAGACGCGTCACAGACTGAGTGTTCGAGACTGAAAGAGAGTTCGGCACATTCCTTTGCATCTTCGCGTCCGGGAGGGAGAGCCATACACTACGTGCCACTGCACGTGGTAGCGGAGCATCTCAGTGCTCCCTCCCGCCGCCGCCAGGCGATACTGCGACTTCGGCTCCGACCCAGCTGAGTGCGAGCCGACGTTCGACAGCAGCCAATTCGAGATTCTCGGTTATCCTTGAATGTTGGGACGTTATTCTGTTTTGTGACGATGTACGGCGGCAAGGGCGCAGGACATTTTCCACCAGTGCATCAACAGGAAGGCCCACAAATATTCGGAGCGGCTCCAGCCTCAGAGATGGCGAATTCCAAGACACCGCCGAGCTGGAGCACCGAGTTCGAGTCACACTATCCACTATGGGTCTATGCTCAGGACCTAATCCTTTGGAGTGCAGCGACGGAAGTACCCCCAGCACGACAAGGGCCAGCAACAGTATTACAGCTCGGAGGATGACGAGAGTCCTGGGCAGAGAGATGAATGTAGACGGGTTGGCGAACGGATGACACTAATGGGATTGTACACAGAAGCAGATGGTCCAGGTCGCCAGTATTACTCTTCTGCGAAACCTACTACGACGTTTCGGCGAATTGGACGAAGAACAGAGTATTCGGTTGTTGTCACAGTTTCTTGGAGTCACGCGAGTGCATGGTGAGACCATTGAGGCACTTTCGAGGTTCGATGTCACGGTGTACGGAACGACGAATATTTTCCAGAACTTCGCACTCGGACCTCAAGGCCTGGCATGGATCCTACTTAGAGCTGCCAAATTGGCCCCATTGATGTGGTCATAATTGCTCATGCCACTCAACGGACAGATACCGACGACCGAAGACCAGCTGAATATCCTGAAAAGACACATGCGGCAGCAAGCACACATACTAGAACATCATCCGCACGGCATCCTTCTGGACACGCAGCGCCCATGACAGCAAGCGCGCCTGAGCAATGTCGGTGATGTTGGGCCCCCCTTCAGACGATGGCTGCCTTACGGGGGCGGTATGGTAGCAGCGCCTCAACAACAAGCAGCAGCCTACCAGACGAACAGAATCTTACAGGCATGGAATGAAGATGAGACATACATATATGAGGATTTCTTCGGAGATAGCGACACGGAGTCTGACGGCGACTACCAGCAGGGCCCAGACTGTACCGATGAAGCCATCGAGTCATACGCGTCGATTCTGCTACCACCTGGAGTGCCAGCAAGCAGGGCGAACATTACGACGATACTCTACGAGACCTACTTGAATATCAAGAAGCGCTATCGAGCTTATTCGAAGAGAACGACGAAGTTTCGTATATTCAGCAAGCGGCATTCTGGATGACAGTCAAAAGGAAAGGGTCAGCGTGGATTTAGGAGGCATTTCGGCAAGCCAAGCTCCTTCCAGGCAGAGGCTGACCCCACATACTTCAAGGGCGGAAAGGAAAAGGCTACCACAACAACAGCAATAAGAACCGGAAGGACCCTGTCACCGACGAGGCGATGAAGTGCCGCGAATGCGGAAGCGACGAACATTTTCGACGTACTTGTCCTAAGCTTCATCATCGCACACTCCCGGCAGGTGCAGCGTCATCCTCGGCAGAGCAAGATCACGCGTTGGCACCTGGACGTGTGCATGTGATGCAGCGGCATTTCTTCCACGGAGAAGTCGAGCCACAAGCAGAACCAGCAACTCCATATGCTCCAGCGATGGATTGGTCTCAGATGATTACCGAAGCCATGGGCATCACGACGGACAGCGGCGCGCACCACTGCCTGTATTCATCAAGAACGACAGCTGCAGGATTTGATGAGGAGAATGAACTACCATGCGCATCAGCCCCAAGCGCTAGAAGCAGTTGAGCACCATGACCTCTCCATCGTGCAGCAGTTGCGAGTGTTGGATCAGGCATCGGGCGATAGCGAACAGATCTCAGCACGGTTCTTTCCTATGGTGGGGCCTCGACCTGGAAGCAGGCAATAACAGTGCATTCAACGCGGCAGGCCTGAGTCGCGAGCAGATCTTCCTGTGAAAGACCAAGCTTCCAGGCGAGGGGCGTGAGGGGCTTCTCGTGGGCACTGGCGCGCATGACAGACTGGTTGGCAATCTATGTATCAAACGCATCTTGGACATCCACAAGAAGCGGGCCCTTGCCGACCAGCTGAAATGAACAAATGTTTCCAAGCCTATCAGCGTCTCGGGAGTCGGCAAGCAGAGCCAGCTTGCCGAGTGGTCTATTACAGCACCGTTGAGGGTCATCGCGAATGACGTGAAGAGCAGCGCGACGTACACGGCACCAGTGGTCGGCACCGACGAGGATCCATCGGCAGCGCCCGCGTCGTGGGGAACCAAATCTATGCGGCATCAGCGGGCAGTAATCGATCTGGTGAACAGCGAAATACATCTATGCGGGCCTGGGCGAGTGTGCGTGAGTGCGCCACATGGCACCTCCACCCTGAAGATCGAGAGCAGCATGAGTGGACGCCCGCTGGTGCCATGCACGGCGCCCCGCCGAGGCCCCTCAGCGAGGGCGAGCCGTCGACAAGGCGACGCGCGGCAACATCCTCGCCCATTCTCCACCTCGATTTCCCCCCGTGCATGACGACATTCTACCGAAGATTTGGATCGTGGGCGATGCTGACAGCCAAAGATGCCACGCATGCAGTCGACGATTCAAGGTCCAGCTCTACAATCGCAGTTCGCGGCGCGCAACGGCGAGCAGCAGCAATCATTTACAACGCCTGTTCCATCAACATCGGCCAGTCTTGTTACGGATGCGCTTTCCAGGGCCGCCTGCAACAGGACAGTTTGCGAGAACCCACGACGGCGTCTTCAGGTTATGGGCCAATTCCGCGAGCAGCAGATATCCTTGCGGCGAGCTGCACTTCTTGAGGCAAACGCACGCGTGCAAGCCGTGCGGGCGCAGCATCACTTCAGGAACTTCATTGACCAGCGGCGTCGGAACGGCGGCTTGAGAACGACGACGATGCGATTGAGAGATGGCAATCGCACTTCGATTATTCGCATGGAGGCCAACTTCGATCGGGGAGCTCCGGGCATAGTGGGCAGTACAGAGGCGCCGACTGCTGTCGCGAGCCTCTTGGGCCTCTTTTAAGTCAGAGCACGAGCCATCACGAGAGCAAATTGTTACTTCATGCGCGGCTGTATCGGGGCAGGCGCTTTCCTTGCTGGCGACGCCGGGCGACGGCAGTGGCGAGAAGGTCACGTTCGACGTCGCCGATGAAGATTCCACGGCGCACTCCGCCGATGCAGCA